TTGTTGTTTCTTTAAGTGACTAATTGAAAATGAAATAATATAGATAAAATATTGATAATTACTAAAAAGAAATTGTTAATATCTTTAGAAATATATATACATATATACAAAAGAAAAAATATTATATCGATTTTACTGTATAGAATTTTTTTATTATAAAGAAAAACTGAAGACTTCAAAAAAATTTCACTATTTGTATTAATACATTTGGTAAGAAGTAAGAAGAAAAAAATAATTGATTAAGATCATAAATAATTAGGATGAGTTGAATGTGTTTAATTTGTATTTTTTATTTTTTTATTAAAAAAATATTTTGATGAAAATTCTTTTTTAATTTTAAATTTTTGTATATTTTCTATTCATGGTAGCAATTATATTATTACAGCGATAAACGTAACAATAAAAATATAAAAATAAAACGTGAAAAAAATATCTACAAACCTATAAATAATTTTAATTGTTCACATTATTCATGAAAAGATTATATATTTTATTGTTAATAATTAAGATAAATAATTAAAATACTTAAAAAAATACTAAAAAATTTATATATTTCTTTTCTAATTTAAGTTTTGAAAAATATGGTTTCATGTTGTTTTCAAAATCTTTTTTTTTTTTTTAAAAAACACGAAAGTGTTTAAACATGAAATATCTAAATTTCATATTCATAACACGATTTCATGTTAATTTTATAAGCTTGTTATGAATTTGCTATCATTTCTATTTATTATTTATTATACATAAATTTTCTAGTCACAATAACTTAAATATATATTCCTGCTATCTCTAATCCATAATATATCTAATTCATAATAAAATTTATCTAAATATATCAATTATTTATAAAACAGAAAAGAAGTTCAAAATTATATTTTTGTATCGATCATTTAAATGGATAAAAAAATTCATTTTTCCCAAAATATCTTCAAAAATTTATCTTTGATCAAATCTATTAAATCTTTTTTTTTATCATCTTCTCAAAATCAAATCATAAAATCCTCTTTTAATTCTTTCAATCTAAATCACATTTCAATTTTTCCAAATTTTCTTAAATTTCCAAAATTTCTAAAAATTCAAAATATTCTACAATTTAATCCACATACATAGATCCATTATCTATAGATATAAATTCTTATTAAAAATTTGTACATTTTAATCTATTTAATTTTTCTTCTTCTTTCATTTTTCGATCTCTATCTCTTCATCTTCATCAACTTTTTATTTCTCTACGTTCGCACACGAACACCGCGTTCCGAGATCATCGGAGCTCTGAAACTTAATGCTCGTACGATCGTGTTGTTATATACGAGACGCCCACCACCGGTATCCGGAACTTTCACCATCCATGGAAGCCGGTCGACACGTTGATTGGAGCTTCTCTTTGAACTCGTCCCGCGATCATTATATGCTAATTGCATTTACTACTCGTGTCTGCCTCGCACAGAGATATTTCCACCTGTAGGTGGATGTTCGAAAGCGGCTTCCCTTATCTCCGTTAAGAAAGCGCGGAAAGAAATATCGTGAATTTTAATGTTGCGTACCGTGAGATAGCGGCGAAGAAAGTGGAAGAACGATATTTCCTAGTAGTAACATTACGGATCGCGATTATACGATTATTTCGAATTTATTTCATATTTATTTTTTCGTTATCTTTTTCCATTCCGTTATTATCATTATTGGATTGTTAAACTAGAGTTAGATTAAAAATGATTCATAGGAGCGTGAAGATAAGGATAAGAAAGAAATATTGCACTCGTTTTAATTATCAATTTTTTATTTATCAATGTTTTAGTTTTTTTTTTATCATTTATTAATTGAGCCGTTCTTTTTGAAAGTGGTCTAATTATTCATACATTCGAGATATTTAGGATTAGATATAAGGATTTGCATTTTAATCAACTTAATTAATTATGTTTTTAATATTATAAACTTGTTAAATTTTGTTATGCAATATTGATAAAAGAAAATAAATAATTTTTTAGCTACAAATACGGATTTATGTCACTTTCAATAATAGAATATTATGAAAAATATAAATAGTAATTTTAAATTAATTTCTTTTACAGTTGACTTTTCTGAAATATAAGAAATAATAATTAAAATGAAGACAATTAAGTAAACGAATATTACAATGAATTTATAAATAAACAAGTGTGAAAACTAAATTAATTAGTAAGATAACTAACAATTACCAAACTTATTTAATAAAAAGGGCGATAACAATTTTTACAATTCAATACTTTTTTTAATTAATTTACGAGAATTTTGTACACCATTGACTGTGCGATTATAAATATTAAAAAAACGATATCTATATTTGAATTAAAATTATCATTAACTCATTTTTTTTGCAAAAATATAGACTTTCAAAAAAAAGACGATTTTTGTTCGAATTCACTTTTATCAATCAATCTGAATCTCGATTTAATCTCTTCGTTGTCTATTTAAATCGCGTTTATTGAAACATTTTTATCAATTTTTATCAATGTATCGAATCGAAACAAGTTAGGTGTGTGTGTGTGGCAGCTCGAGTCGAAACATGTTTTATCGAATTTAAAAAATTTCCTCGGCGACAGGACGATCAATCAAATTCGCTCTTTGAAAGTCTCTTTTCCTTCTTTAGCCATATTTTTTCCCCACAAAGTTCTCTTTCAAAGTATCAAGAGTGATTAAACACAGGCATGGCCGCTTCCGACCATCTCTTCTCGCCATCCTGTTTTTTTTCTTTTTTTCTTCTTCCCCTTTCCATGCTTCTCATCCCACAACAAGTTGTCACGCTCACGGAAAACGGAGAAAGTAAAGGTCATGAGCGATGAATCGCGACCCTGAAGACCCTGAGATGTACCCGTTCCCTTGAATCTCATCTTATCCCTAGAAAGCATCTTCCCCCTCTCCTCCCCCAACTCTTCTTCCTCTTTGTTCGATAGAAAACTAACAGCTTTCATCCAGAGGAAATTAATGTCTAGCGTGTGAACACGATTCCTCGTATTTATGCAACTGCCTCCGCGCTTGGGAATCGAAACGCGGAACTTTTTACTAAAAGTGCGAAAAGTAAATTTGGAAAAGTATAGAAAATGAAATTTTTACTTTCTCTCTGAAAATTTTCTTTTCCCCGTAATTGAAATCGATATTGAATTCGAAATTGAGAAAAAGAAAAAATATTTTTTTTGCACTCGAGTGCAAAAATTAATTTCGAAAAATATAGAAGATGAATCGATTGGAATTTTTACTTTCTCTCTGAAAATTTTCTTTTCCCCGTAATTGAAATCGATATTGAATTCGAAATTGAGAAAAAGAAAAAATATTTTTTTTGGATTCGAGTACAAAAGTTAATTTCGAAAAATATAGAAGATGAATCGATTGGAATTTTTACTTTCTCTCTGAAAATTTTCTTTTCCCCGTAATTGAAATCGATATATTATAATTTATCTGTAATTTAATATATTCGAATTAAAACACTCGAAATCGAGAAAGAAAAGATATATTTTAAATAAAGATTGTTAAAGATTGGATAAGATATTATCGAAGATTATATTACATCATTGAATAAAAATTGATCGATGTAAAAAATCAATCGATAAATTGAAATAATTTCACAGATGTTGTAAAGGAAGAAAACTTTTTTAATAAATTTTCTTTTTTTAGGAATTTCAAATGAGTTCTATCTGGATGAAAAAATTAAGAAATTATATCGATACGAAATTGAATATTGTAAACATGTTATTATCAATATAACTGATAATTAAATATAAAATCAAACAATCGAATAATCTTATTTTGGTAGAAAAATTAATTAATTAATAAAAAAGATAATAGTTAATAATTATTAATTAAATTGATATAAAATCGAGTAAAACGACGATTAATGATAAAAGAAGATTATCAAAAATCATTTATCATAGAAAGAAAGAAAAAAATCTCTCGCGTTCCAGCGATATTTGTATTTTCTCTAAACAGAGTTTTTGAAATCTTCCCTCCCCCGCTCTAAAAAAAAATTCCAAAATTATTTATCATCCTCGTATATTGCGCACACGACAAAGTTTAATTATATTTACGAAAACGAAGATTAAAAATCACACATTGCACGATCGAATTACAATTTAATGTTTTTCGAGTTAAATGTACGAGATTCACATATAATAAAACAGATACCGATTCTGGCGTTAAATAAATTTTTTTTAAAAAATTTATTTGAAAGAATAAAAATGTCTAGATTATGATATCAATGTTACTGAAATTTCAGCATCATCAATCATTACTCATAATTATAACGTTTACTTGACCGCGCGTGGCTAATTGTTTTGACCTGTAACAAAATTTATCGCGTGCACGAGGCATTCTTTTTTACGCCATTATAAAGAGACGCGATAAGATATAATTGGCAGAAAGGAGATTCGCAGCAACTCTATATTCGTAGCAGTTTAGAAGAGGATATATGGGATATTATGCTTTTTATAATGGATTCGGAAAAGAGGATGGCTGAGAAGGTTCGTCCAGAGGAAGAAAAGCCTCTTGAAAATATTTTAAAGAGGGAGGATTCGACATTCCGTCAAATGTGGAAACAAAGACTTCGCAAGAATTCGATTAAGAATATCGGTTGATTTTTGACTCGCTGCCATTGAAATTAACGAGGAATTATTGGAATCTTCTTAATAATCAAAGAAATATCCAATTTTCTCTGTTCTCTGAATATTATGGAAATAAATTTATCGCGATTTGAATTGTTTCATTAATAAATATTGATACAAATTTTTTCATATTTTTTTACATTTGTTATATGTTTATTTACTTTTTACCTCTTTCACGATGCAATATAAATATTAAATATTATACTCTCTTTTACGAATATAAATTGTATCAAATTATTTGAAAAGAAAAAAAAACAGATTCTTCTCGATCGATTCTTGCTCGTGTGTTTGAAGTCGAGAAACAAAACTCGAAAATTTAAAAAAAGAAAAACTGTACTTTATTACGATAACATACACAACATCGTACAAAAATATCCATATTTATATATATATATATATATTTCTCTATACGAAGAGAATCGTTATTTACAAGTAAATAAGAATGATTACGCTCGATGTGTCATGTATGGCTTGTCCGGCGACATGGACGACCAGCACGAGTTCTTAAACTCTAAAGACCGAATAATAAAATCGTACGATAAAAACTTCTTATTTCTTCTCATCAAAAAAAAAAAAAAAAAAAGAAGAAAAACGAGAAAATATCATTCGATTTAATTGAAACAATCTCGCGGACAATGAATCTTCGAAATTCGTCTAAAAAAAAAAAGAAATAGAAGAACATTCCTCGTTTTTTCTTTCTTCGTCTTCCAAGCTCCATTCCTTTCGCAAGAAAGAGGACCCATTTCTATTTCTCTACGTTCCACCACAATCGCATCGCGGTGCTATTCCCTCGAGACGCGAGAGAGGAAAGACGAACGCAGGCCGATGACGAGCCTCGACAAAGACCTTCGATCCCCCTCTCCCTCCCCAGGCTACGACGTCACGCTAGCAAAAAATTCGAACGAAATTTTATCGTTCGTTTATTGTCGTAGAGAAAGATACTGGAACGAAGGAGAGAGAGAGAGAGAAAGAAAGAGAGGGGGGATAAGTTACTTGTAGCCGTGATGCTCGTCGCGGTGAGTTTCGACTTGTACCCAAACTTTCTCCCAAACGGGCTTCCATACCTTCTTCCACGCCGGTACCTGCACGTCCTTCCAAACAGGCACCCACTTGCTCTTCCACTCGTCCTTCCACACCTGCTTCTTCTGCGTCACCCAAATCTGTTTCTTCTCCGGCACCCAAACCTGTACCGACTCCTCCTTCCACACGAGCTTCTTATCTGCCACCCACGCTTGCTTCTTCTCCGTCTTCCACACCTGTTTCCACTCGGCCTTCCACTCCAGCTTCTTCTCGCTCACCCACACCTGCTTCTTCTCCGTCCTCCATACCTTCTTCCACACAGGTTTCCAGATCAGTTTCTTCTTCCAAAGGTCGTGGCTCGTGTACTGCCATCCGTGCTGATCCTTGCCCACGTACTGTTCACCGGGTATGCCTATCTTCACCCATTCCGGGACCCAGATCTTCTTCCAATCGGGCACCTGGACCTCTTTCCACGCGGGAACCTGCACCTCCTTCCACACCGGTTTCCAAACCTTCTTCCACGCGGGGACCTGCACCTCCTTCCACACAGGCACCTGAACCTCCTTCCACACCGGCTTCTGAACCTTCTTCCAAACAGGCACCTTCACCTCCTTCCACGCGGGCACCTGAACCTCCTTCCACACGGGCACCTGCACCTTCTTCCATTCCTGCTTCCAAGCCAGCTTCTGCTCCGTTTTCCAGATCCGTTTCCATTCCGCTTTCCACGTCAGTTTCTTCTCCCACCTACCCTGGGGCGGTTGAGCCGGAGGGGGGCCGTAGGATTGGGCTGGTGGCCCGTACGAGCTCGACAATCCTCCACCTCCCCCGTGCCCGCTTCCGTCTCCGCCGAACGATCCTCCGCCACTACCGTACCCTTGATCGCTTTCCAAGGAACCGTGGCCCGATGGGGCGCCGTAGCTGGGGGATGGGGCGCCGTAGCTCGAGGATGGGGCGCCGTAGCTCGAGGATGGGGCGCCGTAGGAGGAGGATGGAGCCGATGGGGCGCCGTGAGAGGAGGATGAGGCCGATGGAGCGCCGTAGGAGGAGGATGGAGCTGATGGAGCACCGTAGCTGGAGGATGGAGCGCCGTAGCTGGAGGATGGGGCGCCGTAGGAGGAGGATGGGGCCGATGGAGCGCCATGAGAGGAGGATGAGGCCGATGGGGCCCCGTAAGAGGAGGATGGGGCGCCATAAGAGGAGGATGGAGCGCCGTAGGAGGAGGATGGGGCGCCGTAGGAGGAGGATGGAGCCGATGAGGCGCCGTGAGAGGAGGAAGGGGCCGATGGAGCGCCGTAGGAGGGGGATGGGGCGCCGTAGGAGGAGGAAGGAGCCGATGGAGCGCCGTAGGAGGGGGATGGGGCGCCGTAGGAGGAGGAAGGAGCCGATGGAGCGCCGTAAGAGGGGGATGGGGCGCCGTAGGAGGAGGACGGGGGTTGTGGTGGTGGTGGAGCACCGTAGGAATCAGAGGGTACGTTGTAAGTGGATCCTATGGGAACTCCGTAAGAGGTTGCTGGCGGAGCGTATTGACTCGGGGGTGGGTTCAACGGCGCTCTGAAATTCGTTTGTGATATTATTATTATAGGTTATAGGATTATTATATTATATATATTATATTATAGGATTATTATTATTATTATAGGTCGAGATAATTGAAAATCATAGGTTTTTATCGGTTTTTACTCACTCTTTTTTTATCCTTATCGGGTCTCCAAAAGCGGATACGAGAAGGAGGGAACACAGGAATAACTGTAATAAAATTATTTCGACGATTAGAGAAATTTAAGCACACGTTAAGAGATCATGGTTAATTATAAAAATTCATACGGAAGATCAGAAATATTAATTCCTCCCGATCGGAGGAAAATTTTCTGTTTATACGAATACGAAGATGGGTAATTCTCTGGCGGAAGAAGAGACGATACGACCGTATCGAGCAGAAATGCAAATGAGGCGATCATGGGATTAGTTAGACGTTCAGCCGATTCCAGGTAGCTACTGTGTAATTACCTGTAATACCTCCGGACCTATCGATTCAATCTCTTGTATTGTAACTGAAATAGTTACACGAGCATTATACTTATAATTACTGGCTGATTTCAATCTATATCCCGCTCGACCTTCGCGGTTTATCCCCACTTGCATCTCGACCGTGCGAGAGTTCGAATAACCTTTGTTAACCTTATTCCCTATTATTTTCCAATTTAACAATTTCTCTTGGAAGAAAAAGAAGAATTTGAAGAGGACAAATTTAAGCACACCTTGAGAGATCATTGTGATAAATATAAAAATTCATACGGAAGATTTCAAGCGTTGATCTTGATAGATTCAATGAGATACGTTTCTCGATCCAATTTCTCTTATTACACGGGGCTTATTTCGATTCTACGATTCGCACGAGATGATTCTTGCTTTTTAAAAAATTTTATTTTCCCAATTCGAATTTATAATTAGTTTATATATATATATAGTTCGTGTATAATCATTATTCGAATTTATTCGAATTTATTTGAAAAGAAAAAAGAAAATAGAGGTCAAACGTGGAATCGAATATTATTTTAAAGCAGCGAATCTTTTTCTTGAAAAAGATTTCTTATCGCACAATTTTTTCATAAAAATTTAAAAGAACCTAAAATTGATTGAAAAGTATTCCGTGTAAAATTGAAATCTTTCCAAGATCGATTTATCTATAAAATCTATGAAAGAGAGAAGAAATGACGACAAGAAGATCGATTTAACCAATAACTTGTTCTGGAAACGTTAAAAAAAAAATCACAGAATAACAATAATGATAATGATATCTTCTCGATTATTTTACGACACATCTAATCTTTTTCTTGAAAAAATTTGTTTGTTAAAAATCAATTAATTATAAAATTAAAATCGAGTTAGCTTCTCTTTCCAAGATCGATCTATCGAAAATCGATAAGAGAGAGAGAGAGAGAGAGAAAAGGAATGGCGACAAGAAGATCGATTTACAACCAAGACGAGTAACTTGTTCTATTTTAAAAAAAAAGTCACGAATAATAATAATAATAATAATAATAATAATGATGATATATCTTCTTGATTATTTTACGACACATCTAATCTTTTTCTTGAAAAAATTTGTTTGTTAAAAATCAATTAATTATAAAATTAAAATCGAGTGCTTCTCTTTCCAAGATCGATCTATCGAAAATCGATAAGAGAGAGAGAGAGAAAAGGAATGGCGACAAGAAGATCGATTTATAATCAAGACGAGTAACTTGTTCTATTTTAAAAAAAAAGTCACGAATAATAATAATAATAATAATAATGATAATATATCTTGTCGGTTATTTTACGAGCATGTCTCTCAAAAAAATGAAAGTGTCCGCGTGCGAACTAACGAACTGAGTGTAAACAGGACTGGGAATGGGGTCAACGGTGGCCCCCCTTATTCTCTCTCTCTCTCTTTGTCTCTCTAGTTTTTTTTCCCCCCCTCCTCTCCAATTCCATCATCAACGTAGAAACTGGAGGTCGATCGTGAAACTCGTGACCGTTCATTAGTCGGAAGAACGGAGGGGAAAGTGGGCTTCTTCCCAATTTCGTCTCCCAACCCCAATAAATAAATTCTCTCATTTTTCGCCTCTTATTTCCGAGCCGACCGCCATTTCGGAGAACCGGTTTGCCACTGCACTGCGCGTTACCTGTTACCTGTCGATCACCACCGTCGTTTTAGAGCAAGATCTATTAATCGATCCTCCATGGTTGGAAAAATGGAAAAAATTTCGAAAAGTCGAAAAGTCACCAAGTTGGATTAAAATAATCTCGTACGATGAAGAAACAAGGACAATTTGCTATCGATCGATTTTTTTCTTTCGAAAGAAATTTTAATCTAAGAAATTTGAAATTTTTTTTCACGAGTAAAACACGCGATACCGATGGATTTAACAATTGTTTTCACAATTTCGTATTTAAGAAAGTTCGTTACATCGAACCTTCCAATTTCCATCGAACGATCCAAATTCACGAAAATATTAGGAATTATAATAGAAAGTTAAGAAACATGGCATTAAGTTAAACGATAGAAAGGAAAAAGCGTGACATGTCCTCGAGGTCTCCGCTACGTTCATACCGTTATTCATACGCGGAATGAATGGGTGGGCAAATACGAAGAAGCCACGGTAAATATTTACAAATATTTCAGGCGGATTAATATTTGAAGATCCCCGGGAAATATTCGTTGCGTAAAAAAAGTTGCGTTTCCGTTCCGTCTGGAACCGGGTTGAAACTTGGGAGGAAAGTGAACGAGTTTCCACGAGTCCCCAGTTTCACGAGAGATGATCATTCGAGGCACGAGTACACACTGTTCGACTTTCCATTCTGAATATCTCCTAGAGAAACAGCTCTGAATTCAGTGACTCGAACGAGCCTCGAGCTAGGTTACACGATGGAGGGGGTTAATTCAATACGCGGCGCGCACACACACGATATCAAAAAAAGAAAACACTTTGAAAATCGATCCGTGTATTTACACGATTACGTTTCTTCCACGTAATGAGATCTCTGAGAAAATTAACACGATTAATCTATATTGCATTGTGGCTCCATCTCAAAACCTGTATCCAATTTTTATTTTCCATCCTCTCTAATTTTTCTAATTTTAAAACTTTAAATTTATAAACTTCGATAACCGTTTTATTACGAAACGATATATTTTAAGTACTTTCACTTCCTTTTTCTTTTTTTTTTTTAACCACAACAATAACAACATTCATATATATATTATATGTATATATATATATATATAGACTTTTATCCTGTTACACGAGGCGCCAAAAGGCGTTTCACGGAGAGAAGGAGAGATTCCAGTAACTTCTTCGATCACTTCCCCCTCCCCCACGAGTTCGTTAACGATGAAAAGAAGATCACAGATTTTCTCGTTGCTTTTTTATTTTTTTTTTTCTTCTTCACAGACGTACTTCACTCGTACTCGATTTACACGTACTCGAAGTCACGTACGATTACGACCCGTAAGATGTAAAAGGGAAAAAAAAAAAAAAAAAGGAGAAAAAGAAGAAGAAAAATGGACACTGACCAGGCTGGACCGCATCTTCTCAAGTTGAAGGGGTGTCGTTCACCGCGCGAAAAAAAAGAAGAAGAAAAAGAAGAGAAACGGCAAAGGCTGCCGCCTTTGTATGTATGTATATATATGTGTGTATATATGTATTCTTTTTTCAACCTTTTATTTTTACAATAATGTTACGGTTCGTCACTCCTCTGACAAATTTCTCGTGTCTACCGTTCCTTTTATAGCGAACGTTCCCTCCGCCTAGGCGGCTAGTCGCCCCTAGAACACAGAGAGAGAAACACATTTCGAGGAGGGGTATACACGTTGTTAGTTACGTTCTCGACGGCTATACGATGGCTCACATCTTGAACTTACCTGCGGAGAGGGGGGAGAGATCGTAACGGCCGTTATGATCGCCCGTCCACGAAGGTAAAAGGGGCATTTGGCGGCCCATCGCGCGGAGTCAACTTTTTTTTCTGTTTTCCTTCTTTCCTTCTTCCTCCTCCTTCTCTTCTTCTTCTTCCTCTTTTTCGCATGCGCGGTGGAACACCATCGTAGAGCGAAGCCGTTGATCGCTATCGTTAGAGGAGACGTTGGTAATAATGGAAAGTGTTACGATTCGATACGAATTATTAATCGTCGTTCCGAAAGATGTGATCTTCGATTTAATGTGAAACGATAAATTATATTTTGTTTAAGAAGAAAGAAAGAAAAAGAAAAGGAATTCGAAGTAGAAGCGGTTTGGTAAAAATTCGGAACTCGACTCGACGAGTCGAAATGTAAATTAAGGAAGTGACGCGAGGGCGAGAAAAAAATGTTGAATGTACACTTGGAAGAGAAACGAGAGAGTGAGAAATTTCGAAGAAATGGCGTAAACTTTGACCTATCTTGTAATATTACTATTATTTGTTTTTTTTTTTGCAGGAAAGGACACGTGAAATCTTCTTTCTTTGCGGAGGATCGTGGTACGTGTGCGAGGAAGCGATACAGCGAAGGGAAGAGGCTAAATGTTACGTTAGGATTAATTAACGCTGTACGCGTTTTACAACTCAACTGCCGTGATAAAACCCCGAATGCTGGTATTCAATCGCAAACAGGAAAGAGGAACGTGCATACGTGCGTGCGTACGTACGTACACTGCATTTGTTTACTTTCACTAGGTAGAACGGTTAAAACGTTTTATGCAATCGTGTTCCTCGTGTATATGTACCGTTTGAATATATCTTTGATTCGTAATCCCGGGAAAGCGGTGGAAGCGTTACAAAACGACTCCCACTCGTTCCATTTTCATCCAATGTCATAACTTTCATCGATAATCTCCGATCGATTATCCACGATCCGCAAAGCATTTATCTTGCCCGTAACCTGAATGGACCAAATTATGCAATATACGTATATATATACATGTACAATTGCGTAATTGATCGAACTCGACGCTAATTCACTTATTATATATAGTCAATTATCCAATCGATCTAAAAGATAAAAATTCCTTCGTTCGATCCTGTTTTCCCGTTCCAATTTTTATTATCTCATTTCATATTATATTTTTATCATTTTTATTGAGATTAATTTTTTTGTAAAGGAAAGTATCTGGATGAGTTATTCTGCTATCTAATTCGGAATCGATCCGTATAAAATATTAATTTATTGATTTATTTTTATTACGATTAATTTTTTTTTCTGTGAAGGAAAAAATTTGGATAATATCGTTATTTTGTTATCCAATCCAGGGGCCAAAAACGAAATAATACAAAATATTAATTTATTATTTTTATTAAAATTTATTAATAATCGCTCTGTATGAAATATTAATTTATTAATCTACTATTTTTATCAAGATTTCTTTTTCTTTTATAAAGGGAAAAGTCTGGATAACATCGTTATTTTGTTATCGAATCGAGAATAAGGAGGAATCGCGAAGATTGCGCAATCGATCGTTGAAAGATTAGATCGAACGTAAGAATTTGCAGGAATGAAACAATAATCGGTCGTGTAAAATATTGATTTCTTAATATATTAATATCAATTTTTTTTTTTTTTTAAAGAAATTTTTGATGACAGCGTTATTTTGTCATCGAATCGAGAGTAGGGATCACGAATCACGAAGATTGCGCAATCGACCGTTGAAAGATTAGATCGAACGTGAGAATTGGCAGAAACAAAAAGAATAATCGATCGTGTAAAATATTGATTTGTTAATATATTAATATCATTTTTTTTTTTTTAAGGAAATTTTTGATGACATCGTTAGAATAGGGATCACGAATCACGAAGATTGCGCAATCGACCGTTGAAAGATTAGATCGAACGTGAGAATTGGCAGGAACAAAAGGAATAATCGGTCGTGTAAAATATTGATTTGTTAATATATTAATATCAATTTTTTTTTTTTTTAAGGAAATTTTTGATGACAGCGAAATTTTTTGTCATCGAATCTAGAATAGGGATCACGAATCACGAAGATTGCGCAATCGACCGTTGAAAGATTAGATCGAACGTGAGAATTGGCAGGAACAAAAGGAATAATCGGTCGTGTAAAATATTGATTTGTTAATATATTAATATCAATTTTTTTTTTTTTTTAAGGAAATTTTTTATGACAGCGTTATTTTATCATCGAATCGAGAGTAGGGATCACGAATCACGAAGATTGCGCAATCGACCGTTGAAAGATTAGATCGAATGTGAGAGTTGGCAGGAATTCTCTTAGTAATCGGTCGTGCTCCGTATAAAATATTAATGACCCCCAGAAAGATCGGGAAAGCTCCACGGGTTGCGTAGCACGGAAACGAGGCTCGATAATCGCGGTGAAATTGCACCTCGAACGAAAGAAGAGAGGAGAGAATGGGCAGTGGTATCATAGAGAAAGAATGTAGAGTGTGTGTACTAACAGATCTTTGACCTTCCTCGCTTTCCAATTTTATTTTCGATCTTGATTCGCCCTCCTTTTTTATTTTTTCTTCTCTTTTTAGATATTTTTAGACTCGACTCCACGTTTATTCCATATTTCCATTTATGTAAATAATATTATAATTTATATCTCCTAGAGAAGATCTAAATTAATTCCGTCCGATTATTTGATCGAACGATTATTTATTATAATTTACGAAAAACTGTTGCCCCTGACAAACAGTTCTCAGTTAAACTCAGTTTCTAAGTGATTAATGGAACGGATCCCGGAGATCGACGTACGAAACTATTCGATGAAAGCAATCGTTTAATTTTACGAACGTTCCCTGACCCACTAATCGATAGTTCTTTTTCTTCTTTCTCTTTGGCCGCTTCTTTCGCAACCGCTTCTTCGAATTTTTTTCCTTTCTTCCTCTTCTTTTTTTTCTTCCAAGAAACCGGTCACCGCCATAAACTCCTTCCTTTTTTTTTTTTTTATTAAAAAACACGCTCCAAATTTATGATCACACAATTTTTTCCCCCTCTTACATCTTTCATCCTTTTTTATCTCACGCTGTTAAATAAGGAAGAGACCGTTACAACGATCGAAACAAGTGCAACGGAACCTACGCTTCCGTTTCAACCAAATTGAAGGATGCAGGGAACAGAAGAAGGAGAAGCTACAAGATTTTCATCTCTCCTATGAAAAAAAACAGTCGCTTTCTTTCGATTCCATCCTATCGATTTGATACCTTTCACTATCCACTATCGTTTCCGCGATGCCATTAGAACGACGCGGAAGTGACGCGTTCCATGACCCCTCGAATGCATAAAACATCGCGACAATACACTACTTCCTTGCGCCTCCTATCGATGGATAATTGCTTCCCTCGTAATTAACAGACAGGATTGTTATAAACAGCGATCATTGCTTTCAAAACTGTTCATTATTATTAAGAATCCACGACACGATTTGTTTCGCGATTTTTAAAAATGTTCCAAGAAAAAAAATTAAATTAGCGTAGGATTATTTTTTACTTGGAGAAAGGTGAAAGAATAATATATATATATATATAAATAAAAGGTGACAAATTTTCGTCGAATATTATTTCGAAAAGGGAAGATGAAAGTGAATCGCCTTGACCTTAAACCTACTACTACTAGCAAGAGGTTTTTTTTCCAGGAGGGGGAGGGGTGTTCTTCGATACCGGGTCACGGCCAAAAAATTATCCTGCGAAGGAAGCAGAGAACGCGATCACGTGCAGCCGATCGATCTTGGCGGCGAGAGTGAAAACGGGAAACGGTTTCTCGGTCTCGGTGAATCTACCATTGACCCTTGCAACCCGTCTTCGCTACCGTGAGAGATATATTTCCTCGCCTCTCCGCCTCTGTCGCTCGGCTATTTTCATTATTTTTGTGAGTGAAAGTTTCGAGCGAGTTGCACGAAACTCTCCATTCATTCTTGATACACTTTTAATCAAAAGATCGCTTTCCCGCAACATTGGACGCACAATTGTGCGATTGTAATCGTAACTGAGATATAATTTTCCTTAATTAATTAAAACTCTATTCTATACTATTCTCCCCTTCTCTTTTTCGATCATTTTGTATTAATTCTCGTTATATTTAATATCGTCGAATCTTTTCGTTTTCAAATCTGTTTTATCGATCGCGAATCGATGGACGTAGAAATGGTGCGAATCGTTATATTATTTCTCTCTCTTTCTGTCTCTCTCTGGAATTCGAGGTAAACGAAGTGAAAACGAAGTCGAGACTGAGAGCTGTTTGAAAGAATGCTGAAAGTCGTCATTACGCCTCATGATCGGGTCACTTTGACTTTCTTTCAATTTAGGGTTGCAGCTGTTCGTCTTCTCCGCTCTTTTATATTCCAAAGGATAATGGCGGTTGGTTACTTTCACCGAGCGTAACACGATTGATGACGGAGGAGGAGGAGGAGGAGGTACGAATCGAGGAGCACGAACGAAATCGTCCTTCGAGCGAACCGCGGATAGTTCGTCCCGAAACGAAACGAGGAGAAAATATCTTCTATTTTCTCTCTCTCTCTCTCTCTCTCTCTTAGATATCAGGCGTACAATTGTAAAAAGAGAATAATAAGAATTTCTGCTTTAGGTGTTCTAATAACCCGCTCG